TTGAAAATATGCCCCTTTCTTCTGGTGTGCTGTTTCTTTTTTTTTTAAGGAAATACTAACCTTGGGTACATTTCCATTAGATTAGGAATTGTTCTGTATCAGTCTTCATTTGTAGAAATAGGCCTGAATCATAAAGCTCTGATAGAAATACACATCTATGTAGTTTAAAGAAACTGAGGTCTGTAGGTTAATCTGGGCTTATTGCAGTTTCCTTAAGGAGAGGTTGGAGCCTTGTATTCCTTATACACATGTATTTAAAGATATTATTGCTCACTCCTTCCCCAGTTAGCTCAGGGACTGTGCTGTCAATTAAGTGACTTGATAGTTTTTGCAGATATGCAAACCTCGTACAAAAGAAGTTTTTCAGAACGTTTATTATGTTTTACACACAGTTCATGTCATAGGGTATCCCAAGTTGGAAGGGACCCACAAGGATCAATCTAGTCCAACTCCAGGTGTTGTATTTGAACCCATTATGTTATTTTGTTGTGCATGAAACAAATACTGCAGTGTGGCCTAAATCCTCCTGTCCCATCCATTACATGGTTTTCTCTGAACAGAAATGTAGAAATTGCAGGACCCCAAATTTATGGTATTGATTAATTTATGGCAGATATCTTCCAGTGTGTGATTGACTAAATAAGAGCATATACTTTCCACTGCTATCTTAATGAAAAAATGGTCTACTTGATTTCACTTTGATGGTTTACTAGCATTGGACTATAGGGAAATCTTTTTGTGCACTTTAGTGCATTAGCTTACATGGTGAATTTTACTGTTAGGCCAAAGATCATTCGAATATGTGGCTTTTTATATACAAAGCTGCATTAGGGGTGTTTGTCAGGGTTTCAGTAGCAGGGCGGGCTGCAGGGTGGCCTCTGTGAGAAAAGGCTGGAGGCTGCCCCATGCTGGATGCAACCGGACCCAGCCAGTTCCAGTCAGATCCAGTCAGTTCTAGCTGGTTCCTGCCAAATCCAGTCAGTTCTAGCTGGTTCCAGATTATTCTAGCAGGTTCCAGCCAGTTCTAGTCATCTCCACAGCAGCCCCACTGCTATTTTCAGCAAATACTGTCTCTGTCAATACATTTGAGTGAGAGACCTTGTTCTTCATAAATCATCTACATGGATGTACAGACCCTAGTTTTGGTGGTTATTTTCCAGTGTTTTAGGTGGATGGTTTCCTAGCCTTACAGAGGATATGGAAATGTCTGAAAAAGGCTAACTTTCAGGAAAGGTAGAACTAAAACTAAACATTTTGAAGAGTGGGATGAGGAAAAAATATGATGATAAAGTTAGTTAGCTCATCAGAAATAGGTTAAATTACTTGAACAAGTACATGTAAGCAATATATGCCAAGCCACTGTTGTCTATCTATTACAGTTTCAAGTACTTGGTTAATTCAAAATTCAGGGAATCCAATCCCACTGGAATCAATCTCAGAAAAAGGAACATCATGACTTCAGCAAAAACTAATGTAATGACATTAAATCCACAGCAATGCAGAATCCCTGCTTCAGTTTTGTCAGCAATTTGGGTAACTTAAATCCTGTTAGTGAGGGATTAAGAATTTGGTGATAAAGACTAAGGCTGTAACTTGATTTATTAGACTGAGACTATGTGGTGATAATTGTTTTAAAGTGTAGAAATGCCAAATAAGTATAAGCTGATTTCATATATATACACACACTTAAATTTGTGATTCTTAATGAAAAAAGGTATTTGGAAGGGGGAGGAAATTGCTGTCTGACTTAAATTTGATTTGGATGGACGCTGCAAATCATAAGAGTGAGCTTTATGCTATCATTTCTATTCCTGTCTATTGTATGTTTATTTTCTCTTCAGTTCTATGCGGTTTGGAAACAACAGAATGAAAGACTTCTATCAGAATGGATTAGAAAAGACAAAATAAGCTTTATGATTTTTTTTTTTTTTTTTGATCAATCACTTTCTAAATTTTCCATCCAAATTAACTTTGTGGTAATTCTTGCAGCACAGACAGGTGAGTTTTTTTAGTTATGTGTCCTAGACTATTTTAAAGTAAGCTATAATGGAGATGTTTGAAAGCATAACCAGAAAAAAAAAAGAATAAATTTATAAGGTCTCAAATTTGACAAGTGTGGGAGCCAGCTTGGGGATTCTGATATTTGTGGGGGTTTGTTTGTTTTGGTTCTTTTTGTTTCTGTTTTGTTTGTTTGTTTGTTTGTTTGTTTGTTTTCTAGTTCTGCTGTTCCAGGTAACCCAGTTATTTTTCCTGCCTATTGCATTTTTAAGAAATAGAAGTTGTCCCTACCTCATCTTTTAGACTGTTCTTTTCTTTCATCACTATGGAGGGAATGGTGATATGGAATTATCCTCACAACTCCTTGTGAAGTGCAGAGAAGCCTAAAATAGCTCTGAGCTGGCTTGTATTTCTTTACTCCAGCACTTGAATGCAATCAAATTATATTTGTATGATGCTGAACATGAAGGCTAATTAGCTGAGATGGATATGTCACCTTGACCTGAACCTGTAGGCACTGATCCTGAAGTTAGCTGGGATATTTAAGAGTTGCATTGCAGTGGGTAGACACTCCTGGGCTTAATGAACAACTACTCAGAATAAGCAAAATTAAACAGCTATTTTAGTGTAAACCAGGATTTATTCTACTGAGCCACTAATAGGGTTTCAGAAGTAAGAAATGGATTTATGCAAGCTGTGGATTTGTTCCTTATATAAGTTACAGCAAGAGAACAATAAGCCACCATTTGCCCTTAAACAGCAAAGGAAATATTCTATTCCCAACATAGGCTAGAGACTGGTTCATTCATTGTCTGTTTTCTAAACTGGAAGTAAATCTTTTTATTTCTTTCACTCTTGGGAATTTTAAGCAATTCATATTTTAAAAAATTCTAAAAAATGTTGAAGAACACATCAAGCTCAAAAGGTCATGATATAAAATATAAATCATAAAAGAAAATAGGATGAAAAATAGTCGATGGGCATATTTTCTTCTCTCTCTCTCTCTCTCTCTCTCTTCCTTCCTTCCTTTTTTTTTTTTTTTTTTTAATTCCTTCTTTCAAGGTAGAAAGTATAGAAATTGTTGGTTACAGTTTTCAAGGGTAAATCTGGGTGTGATATTCCATCTGTGCTTGCTTGTCCCTAAGAAGATTTTGCAGCTCAGACTAGATCCCAGCTAGCTTTACTGCTTTTCCTAGCTTGTACTCTTAAGGTCTCCTTAATCTTATTTAAATCTACAAAGGGCTTATATTTAGCTGAAAATATGAGGATGGTTTTGTGTAGGAAAATTTCAAGCCCTCTTGCTACGCAGCAGTAGAGCAAAAAGATTTACTCTTCAGCTTTCTTGGGTTTTAAAAAAAATAATAATAAAAATCCTTTGCTCTGTAAAACAGGTAGCATGCTGCCATCTACTGGCAGTGTAGCATGATTTCATTTCCTCAAGTTATTTAAGGAACTGTTTGATGGCATTTTCCGTTCGGTAAAACTGTAGGTACCTCAGTAGCATAAACTTGCAAAGGATCATGCAAATGCATCCTATCGTTTACTCTAAGGCTGCTGTGAGAGTTTTCTGTGTTTGAACTAATACAAAGCCCTACCACAAATCTCACCTACAACCTCCAATTTTCTTTTCATCTGAAAACCCAAAGAATGGTTCATTTTCTGAATAATGCAGAAAAATGCACTCTCTCAATGTAAACTCTCAATAATACCTGAATGCCTTTCCAAACTAAATAAACAAACAAACAAACAAACAAATAAATAAATAAAGCAAAGGTATTTCCCCAGATACTCTTTAGGCCCAGAATAGTTGATTAATTGCAAGAGTTACAAATGCTGAAGGAACTGCTGCATGCAAGTGTTGTAAGGTTACAAATGTTTAAGGAAGAATCCTTGTTTTTAATTTTCTTTTCTATTGGAAATAGTATACTTATAGAAGAACAACAAGGAAAAACAAATGTGAAAACTTTTCAGATATCCCCAGGTGATATGTCAACAACAAATTTTGTTTCCTCCTTTGTCTCCAGTTAAATCCACTATGTACACAGCCATAGCTCATAGCTAAGGAATAATTCCTTATAATTTCATGATGAAACATTAAAAAAGAAAAACAAACAACTGAGCCATGTTTACTCAGCTGAGAACTATAACTCATTTCAGACCTGGCCTACTTTACCGGAGCCCTGGCCAAAGTTTCCGCTGTGTAGTGAAGTTCTGCAACCAGGGGGAACAGATTTTATAATGTAATAGCTGATTGAACAAATATCTTTTCCAACAGCATGTAATTACCATATGTTAAGGTGAAATGATACTCTAATGTACTTAGAATTTTATCCTGGAGTTGTGTTCTTATTCATACTGCATTTACACATAGGCAAATTCACAAAAGACTGGGTGATGTAAGTATATGTATATATGTTAAGTAATCACCCCCAGTTGCAATCCATTTTAATGGCGATCATTTCAAGGCCTGTGTAGCAATTATTAAATTATTCTGTTGGCAGAGTGCTTGATAACTGAAGTAGAGACTGGAAATGAATTCTGCTATCCTGACTCTTGTTTTGTCGTACTGCACATGGTGAATATTCAGGAAATAGCAGTGTAAATACTGGTGCTGCTTTGTGTTCGCTTGTTATAATCAATATGAACCTACTCAGAGCACAGGTAGAAAAACATCGGATCTTATAGGTCGTAGAAGTATGTTTAGTAAAAAGATGGCTTTGTCCCTTAGGATAATTGGTGATACAACAGCTCTGTTTTATTTTCAAATTACTGTTTTCTTTTCCTTGGTCATATTTTCCTTCTAATATCCTTGTTTTCTAACATCTAAGAGAATCACATTGAACTTGCGGCCTTGTTGCTAGGTTTCAAGCTGATTTTATGCAGTCTACTGAGACACTATTTTCGTTTTTGAATTCTGAATCAAGTCCCAAGGCAACAGGGCCCTGTTTCTTAGCAACACAGATGGGCAGACCATATATTCCAGTGCTTTTGTGCAAGGGAAGAATAAACATCTCCCTGAATAAGGGTGTGCTGCAAGTTGATCTCTTTGCTTAACTTCCCCTAGAACAGAGGAAGGAGAGGCATTCTGTGATACATCACATGAAGTTTGTCAGGAAGTCCCTGTTTTTGCAAGTCGGTGAGTGGTCTCTCTTTCCTGTGCAACGCATCTCTTTGGGGTCTTTATTCATTACTGTGCACACGGATCTGTATGTACTTCAGATCAGGGACTCTCAGTTTCAAGATACAAAAACATGCATGGAAAATCAATGGTAACAAAGCTGGTAGAGGCAGGGTGTGTGAAAATACACAGCCCTTTTGCTTTGGTGAAATTAATGGAAAGTCACAGAATTGAACTGCTTTGGGGAGGAACAGTTAAGACCTGTATGTATGTGTATATATATTTTAAACATTTCTCCTTACTGCAAAACCTTGCTTTTAGGAGAAAACGAGTTGCAGAAAACAGACGGAGGAATTGAGAGAGAAGGAGGAACACAGTATTCATGTGACTAATAAGTTAGTGATGTACACATACTGATGTCTGAAAAGGAGAAGAGTTACATTTATGACACAGTCTCTGAAAAGCGTTGCATGGCTTTGAAATTTTTGACAGTGAAGGCGAAATTTGAATTTTGCTGCCTCCAGACTGTGGGTCAGACTTGGTTATGGGCAAAGAGGAGTGCTGGGGAGAGGGGCAGGGGCAGCTCTGAACACTCACATAGGAGCACATACATACATAGCCTTTACATGGTGGCAATAGCAGTAGCAATGCAAAGTCTAGGTTATTACAGTTTTGGCACAGAGCAGAAAAGCAGAAGAGACTTGGCTATTCTTTCATGCAGCTTGTTGCTGACCATGGCAGGTCCCCATTTCACCTGTACCTAAAGCTGGCCTGATGAATCTGCTAGCATCTCATCTGATCATGGCTTGGGAGCAAAAGTAACCTGAAAATGAAAGCACAGAAATGGGACCTTCCAAAATCAGTCTGGGGGAACTTTATCTCCAGCAAGCTACCTACCCAAAGACTCATTCAGAAACACAATTTCATGTGTAAAGATACATTTCCATTTGCCCTTATCTTTCACTACAAGATTTTCTTTTAGGGAAAAAACAAAATAAAATCCTGTCCTCAGATTGAATAAGCACAAGGAAGAGAAAGTACTAAGGCTATATCTTTTCTTCAGGTTTTCTAAACATTGAACATTAAGGAAGGTAGGAAAATGTATTGTGTTGGGACCAGTTGTAATATCATTATGACCTGTGTTTCTTCCAGATTTTGCAGGGCATACAAGAAGCTCTTTCAGCCTAATATTATAGATACAGTGCAAGAAGAAATGTCTGGCAGAGAGACAGAACTGATATAAGGTAGTTATTTAGCTTGTACGCAGAATTAAACACTTCACGGCCTGTTAAGGTGTTAAAGCTGCTCCAGTGGCCTCTCACAGGATGAAAGTACTCACCCTGCTAGAGGCATCTGTGGTATGATAGAAGGGCATCCCTGTCACCCTTGGGGAAGAGATGAAGCTCTGGTGGCAGTGACTGATGAGATAGCCCAGGGCAGTATGTAACAGCTGGGCACATATTGGCATAGCAATGGGGCAACTCTCATTAATTTTGTGGTGTGGGCAATGCATAAAAATTCAAAAATGCATCAGGAAAGGTAGAAACTGGAGTTTTGATGTTTTCCTGATCTGAGTTTTGTCACTCATGCTTGTGCAAAATGAGGCTAGTGTGCACCCAGCTAGCACCAAATCCCTGCTGTGCTACAGTGCATATGCTCAAGCAATAGCACAGGTTTAGTCTTGCCTTAAGAATGTACTGTTCAATGAGACAAGAATAAAAATGTGAAGGAGAGGATGTATTTGTGTTCCTACTTTGTGATGGGTGTTTCAGGAAAAAAAATTAGAGGTCATGTTCCTATAGAGTGGTGTGAATGTGTAGATTCCTGAATATGTGTAGATTCCTGAATATCTGTGCTTTTGGTTTTAGATGGGCTTTCTTTAGGGCTCAAAGTTTGCTTTTTCAGGTTACTTTGCAGAACTGAGACACAGAGGGAATCAAGAAGCAATAGTTCTTCATCTAAGCACAGGTACTAAATGATATTGAAGTACAAGAACACATTTATCTTCAATGAATGCATGAGGGGCTAGCCAGACTGCAAGTACAAATTCTATTGTGTATATGTGTATATTTTCTGGTTTTCTTTTTGCCAGGGACTGCAGTATCTGAGAAGAACAAAATCCACAGAAAAGCCACCATGTTCATATTCCACCAAAATGATAAGCAATTTTTATTTGCATGTCTAATTGAATTTTCTGCAAGTTTTTGGGCTTTCTCACAACAACAAACTCTAGTGCAGCAACCCAAAAGCCAATATGGCTAAAGCAGCCTCTTGATTTTAGCTGTTGGCTCTAACACATCCAACCCTTCTCAGAAGCCACAGGGAAAGGTAAAAGGGAAAGTGAAGCAAAAAGCGACCTTTGAGTCCATAGTCTTGCAACAGCTTTCCAGGCTTAGTTCTGGGCTGCACCTTCCTCTCCCAGAAGGGGGACATGCCTGTTTGTCACTCATGCTCCACAGATCAGGTCTCACACGGCCAAAATACTGTTTGTGAAGAATGGTAAATATAAGACTGCTGTGTATGAAGCCCCCAAACCACATGATAATAGGCAGATAAAGTGGCTGGCTTGCATGCTTTTGTAAAGCGAATACTCTGAAATAACGAGTACATGCTTGGGGATAAAGTTGATGAAGCCACTAGATGTCAGGCTTGCTAGCAGGAAAAAAAAAAAAAAAAAAGGCAGCTGGGATCTAACTTTGTTACCTAACTCTGTGGTAGTCACGAAAAAGACTTCCACAGGGACAGCTGATGAATTCAGGTTTGCAGCTCTAGTTTTTAATGTGCTCTGTAACTAATAAGATGGGTTTCATTTTGGCAGAACAATTTGAAATATGAAATATGGACATCAGGGCTAATCAGTTCATCTTTACCTTGTTATCTGTGCCATATTTTCCTATACTTTCCACTTTTCTCACATTAATAGGTAGCAGCTTGACATGTTAAATGGAAGGAGCAGCTTGACATGTTGGACGGAAGGATTTTTATGGTATTTTTTCCATTTAGCAGCCCTAACTGAGACCAGCATCTTACTGTGTTATTGTCTGTGTAAAGCATATGGAAAACAAATGTCCAGTTTTTGAGATGAAAATCAAATTATGTACAGAAAACATATAAAAAAATATGATAAAAAAATCCAAGATATGACTTGGATCAGTGCATTAAAAAAAAAAAAAAAAAAAAAAAAAAAAGTGTACTGCTAAAGAAGAGAAACTTCTAATCTAAAGGATTCTAATCTAAAGGATCCTTGCTGAGATTTTTTAAAGATCTCTTTTCCCTTTCATTCATGGATACTTCCCCACCAACAACAACCAACATCTCTTAAAATCTGATTCCATATAAGCAGAGAAAGCCATCTTTTATTTAGAGTCAGTAAATTCATACTGTTAACTTTTAATTACCAACCTTCATATTTCTTCTCTTCTGAGCCCTCTAGAGAATCTCCTGCAAAGAGCAATTCAGCAAACTTACTATTTCTAAAATAAGAAACCAAACCAAGAAAGTAAACAAAAACCTTGCTGCTCTGCAAAGCAAACTTTTTTACCTAAGCATGTAGTTTATTGACAAACTGCATTAAGTGGCGTATAGCCAATATCACATTTCCATGGAAAATAATAAGTAGTTTTTCCTCCTGCTTTCCTTGTGAGAGCAAAAATCACGTGCTCATTTATTGTCAAGCTGCTCTAATAAGAGTTTAACTTCCCTGTTTTTGAGTTTGCTTAAGCTAATTAAAACCAAACTTTTAGTTAGCTATTACTGCCAAAAGAAATCTGTCTGATAATAATGTTTCCTTGTCTCAAGGAAACTGCTTAATTTCAAGACGGTCAAGTTTCCATAACTGTAATTAAATGCAAATTTTTCTTAAAACTTGCTAAACAAAACCTTTCTCTTTGAGTAAATATGTCTTATTTTTTCTCAAGTCTTGACCTGTAACACTAATTTACAAAAACAGGGGAGGGTTGGGAAGCATGTTTTCCTGCATCTATAATACCGTGCTTCCTAAGGTCAGCACTTATGGAGGTCTGGCGAGATAATGTATAGTGTCCATGTCTTAGGAAGTGTTCAGAAGGTTTCAGAACATTCCAATTTCAATTTCTCTGATCAGGTGCAAACTAATGCTTTCATAAGCTCCAGAAGCTGATCCCAGAAAGTCCAATAACTACATGACCAAGGGCACCTAGCTGTGAATGTGAAATCCAGTTTCAGATCCCCCTTATGAATCAAGCACTTTGGGGATTTCAGTGTCACCTGTTAGTGCTCTAATCTCTGGCCAAAGCTTTTCTTTTGTGAAATTCAGTCTGAGTGAAACCAGCAGTGATAAGTCAGCATGTCTGAAAAGAAATAAGGAAAGGGGAAAAAAAAAAAAAAAGCAAGTTGCAACCATAAATCCCTTTTTAAGTTCCTGATAACAACACCTCCTCTTTCACTTTTCAGCCAACTGTAACTTCAGGCTGCTTAGCTCTAGTGCCTGTAAACTGTACAGTGATTTGGTATAAATTTGGTAGAAATAAAGACTTGCTTATACAGGAAATTTTACTCTTTCTTCCCAACCCTCCAACATTTCCCTTGGGGAGATCCTTAATGTTATATCATAAGGAGTTTAAAAGGAAATGAGCAATCTCAATGCAAGATGTCTAAATAAAAATGTACCTAAAGACTTGCTACTTTTTGGTCCACAGTTCTGCAGTTCAGACTTCATCTTAAACATACACATGTACACACACACAAAAGGCCAACACTTCAATAACTGAGGAGATGGTAATTGTTTTATTTTGGTGTGATTTGCCTTTTGTGCAGCAGTTTCTGTGTTCATTCAGGTGGGAAGTTCCTTTTTCACTATTCAGTCCAATGGGAAGTGCTTCATGAAATGGAAATTAGATCTCAATTAGAAAAAAAATAAACACACGAACAAAAACAGGAAAATAGTGCATGTGCAGTTAAACATTCACTACCATGAATCAAGTTTCCAGCATGTAACGTCATGCAACGTTTGTGCTCCCTCTCTGATTTCACAGGACAGTCATATTGCTGCTTAGCCTCCACAATTTTGATTTTATCTTGTTCATTTTACCCAAGAAACTTATCTTCCTAGTCATGCAGATGAGACTGATACCTCTACAACATCATGGTTATCAGTTTTCTGTCTGGTAGCTCACAAGGAAGCAACTGGTTTGTGATACCCATCTCAACCTGTGAAGATCAGGGAAGATTATTAGTCAGATCTGTATGCCTGGCATTGCAGTCCAACATAAATGATTTACACCAGGAAGCAAACTGCTTTTCAAGAATGGCTTGATGGAGCAAACTTTCCCTTCTAAGGTGCCTTGTCTCATAAGGATTTAAGACCAGCATCAATGTTACGCTTATCTGGCTCAGTTTGCAAAATGTGGTTTGGTAAAGAGCACTGACAAACTCACAGTTTCCTCTTGCAACTGGCAGAAAACGTTGACAGCCATTTAAAATCCTATCCAATTTGAATACTAACAAACAATTAACATGTTTTGTTTTTATTTTTGTTTTTGTTTTTTTTTTTTTAAAGTAATTTCTTATTGATCCCCGTGTTTCAGCTTTGCTTTCAACCCTCTCAAAAGCTGTCCAGCAACAGAAAGCTCTTAAGCTCATTGTAGTGCACTTGACTGGAGAGTATATTAAAGGTTAAGTTCTCTTGAAAGGTTTGAAAAAGGTTTGAGCTCCATGAGAGAAATAATCCAATATATTTATTTCAAAAAACTGTATCCCCTATGTTTTCTGTATCACAGTTTCTTTCTCTAGAAGAGCATTCTGTTTCTGTTACTGCTTCTCATCTGAACTGTAACAGCTATTGGACTCCTTCAAGATTGGGTCCATGGTGGTAGGGGTTGTGTAAATGAAGAAGTTTAGGGTAATGGAGAAAAGTGGCTCTTGTCTGCTCAATAGCTTGATTTGGATAGAACAATTAGCTAAATTTCCTAAATCTTGCATTTTTGAACAGAAATTCTACAATAGTTAAGCATGTGTATTTTTACCTTACCTAAATCCAACCTATAAGGTTTATTCTTCAGGTAATGTCAATGTTCTTGTTTCTCAGCATGATGGCTTCATCTGATGTTATGATGTATTTTCCTTTTCAAGTACAGTATGCAACAGATTTACCACATCTTGTGTCAAGTTACTCCAGAGATCCTTTAAATGTGAAGTTAAAATCACATCCTTCCAACAGAGGTAAGTCCTGGCTGACATGTGCGTTCATAAATTAGGAATCAGTACACGCACACTGTGGAGTAAGGAGTATGAGTGCAGAACCCCAGTTCTGTGGGGGTTCTAGAGGGGTTCTGCACTCAGGGTTAAGTTACCAACTTAACATCAATGCTTCCCCTAAATCTCAATGTCAGAAAAATGTCCTCTTCCAAGCTCTAAATAAGAGACTGGAACTATTTCACAGAACTTACTTATGCAAATACACTCAGTTTTAGGGATGCCTGATACAAGCAGGATTGCTAGCTCAAAAATCTGCTTGCTGATGTACAAATGTACAACGCTGATAAGATAGCAATTGCCACCTTGTAATGGTGGTTTACTCACAGGCAACCAAATCAAGTCCAGTGTGTGCCTCTTCCTTGTAGATAAAATAGTCCATATTTGCAATCCTGCTGTGGTTGGTAGTCCATAATGAGATGTTTGCCCTTTAGAGTATTTGCTATAGCTTTGCCTCTTATAAGGATGGCTTAGTTGCAAATAATTAACTACACAGTAATTAAAGTACACAAACGTACATACAAAGAAGTATAAAACACTGCTATTGTACTTTCACAGCAAGACCGTAGACAGAATATTTTTTTCCTTATAATCTTTACCATATATGTCTGGGTGCTAATTTTCGGGAATCCTATCTGATTAACAACCACAGTTTTTGAAATCCTAGAATCCGGAAATTTTGTCTTTTAGCTTATAATTTACTTAATATTTTCAGATCTGGGACTTGAATTGCTGAAATGAAAGCAAAAGAGCTTTGTGAACATGAATGGGATCCTTCCTAAGTTACTGCTACCAAAGAATCCGTGCCTACCTAAATCTGCTTCATTTATGGTTAGAGGCTTTTTGTCTTGTTTTGTTGACGTTTTTACTCCTGAATTAGATTGATTACATAGCGTTTTGGATCACATAATAGCTAAACGTCAGGGGACAACTGAAAAGTCCTAAGGAAGTAACACCATACTGGAGAACTAGGGATATGGACCACCAATTACCAATTTTTCTCAACTTCTCAAGAATATATGTCTGTTTCCAGCTCTTGTTAACTGTAATAGAACTAATTTCAATGTGTCTCTGCTCCTCTGCTCTGAGAGACACACACAGCGGCTTGGTGCTTACACTGTGTTTTTGGATCATATGGAGGAAAAGCTGTGCCAGGAAGAGGCAGGCAGAGATACAAGTGTTCATTCTACTACAGTAAGGACACTGGATCCAGTTTTATCCAGAAGACAAACATTTCTGCTTTCATTCAAAATACTTAACTGAGAGCTGGCACCATTCATTTTGCTTACAGGCATTTTGATACAGGTAGATGATATCAGATGGAGAAAGATGGGTAGTTTGTAGACTGTAAAACATTAATTTATTTTTTTTAAGTAAAGTGTATGTACTTATTCTAGGCTGTTTTATGTTCCACTGAATTAATTTTGGATAATTTTGCTTGAAATGTTCCTATGCTGGGGTACTGCAAAATCAGGGCACTCCTTTTCATGATCTTGTATGCCCTTCTGAGGAGGCAAATTTCCCTTTCATGTCTGGAGTGCCCATGTAGGTTTGTTATTTGTTGGTTCTGTTTCTTTGTTTGGTGAGGGAGAGTTTGAGGCCATCAGGATTTTTTTTTTTTGAACATTCTACAGCCTAGGCCACGAGAAGTGAATGGTGTGTGAGATAAGAAGTAAAATTCTAAGCTTGTCCTAGACACTGAAGGATTGATAAGGCTGGAGTGAGCAGTAGAGCCTCCTCCCTCCTTGGAAGAGGTTGCAGGTGGTTGTGTGGAGCAACCTCCACTCAAAGCAGAGCCATAATGAGTGGCTTTCTAAGGCAGGTAGAAATTACAACTGCATAGTCTGAGACTTAGAGTATTAGGAAGTGACATTTTTAGCTTCTGATGCACCCCTTCTTCAATGTTTCCAGGCTGCTGACAGCTTACAGCACCCTCCAACACAGCTCCCATGCCTGGCTGCCAGAGCCCTGGGAGGAACAGAAAAATGCCTGAGAAATAAGCCACTATCTGCTTCCACCTGGTCTAGAGTAAACTTCTCAATGGGGGTTTTCACCAGTGAAATCTGTTTGCTGTACAAATGCATTTTCTTACATGATATTTGGTACGGTTGGGACGGTTAGTGGACGGAGCAGGAGTGCAGGTAGTATTTTCGTCCATCCCTACGTTGACAGGGAGGGGTATGGAGAGGACAAGGAAAGCCCACCTGTTAAACACGTGGCTCCGGGGCTGGTGCCTACGCAGAAATCTTGGGTTTTTCGACCATGGGGCAGTTTACTCAGCACCTGGTCTGATGGCCGTAGACGGGTCCCTATCCTCTAGGGGAAAAAGGATCCTGGGCCAGGAGCTGGCGGGGCTCATTGATAGGGCTTTAAACTAGGTAAGAAGGGGGATGGGGCTGAAGCAAGGATTGTTGGGGCTGTGCCAGGGGGAGCAATGGCAAGGCCGGAGGATAAGGTAAAGGCCCAGCTGAAGTGCATCTACACCAATGCACGCAGCATGGGTAACAAACAGGAGGAGCTGGAAGCCATCGTGCAGCGGGCAGGCTACGACTTGGTTGCCATCACGGAAACGTGGTGGGACCAGTCTCATGACTGGAGTGCTGCGATGCCTGGCTATAGGCTCTTCAGAAGGGACAGGCAGATTGGAAGGGGTGGCGGTGTGGCTCTCTATATTAGAGAGTCTTTCGATGTTGTAGAACTCGAGGCTAGGAATGACAAGATCGAGTCCCTTTGGGTTAAGATCGGCAGGGACAACAAGGCTAGTGTCCTGGTCGGGGTCTGCTATAGACCGCCGAACCAGGATGAGGAGACGGATGAGGAGTTCTACAGGCAGCTGACAGAAGTTGCGAATTCGTCGGCGCTTGTACTCGTGGGGGACTTCAACTTCCCTGACATATCCTGGAAGCACAACACAGCCCAGAGGAAGCAGTCTAGGAGGTTTCTGGAGAAAGTGGAAGATAGCTTCCTGACGCAGCTGATTAGTGAACCTACCAGGGGTGGTGCCCTGCTAGACCTTCTCTTCACAAACAGAGAAGGACTGGTGGAGGATGTGATTGTCAGGAGCTGTCTTGGGCAGAGTGACCACGAAATGGTGGAGTTCACTATTCTTGGCGGGGCCAGGAAGGGAACCAGTAAAACCACTGTATTGGACTTTCGGAGGGCTGACTTTGGGCTGCTCAGGACACTAGTTGGTGGAGTCCCATGGGAGGCGGTTCTGAAGGGCAGAGGGGTCCAGAAAGGCTGGGCGCTCTTTAAGAGGCAAATCCTAATGGCGCAGGAGCGGTCTGTCCCCATGTGCCCAAAGATGAGCCAGCGGGGAAGAAGACCAGCCTGGCTCAACAGAGAATTGTGGCTTGAGCTTAGGAGGAAAAAGAGGGTTTATAATCTTTGGAAAATTGGGCAGGCCACTAAGGAGGACTATAAGGATGTAGCGAGGCTGTGCAGGGACAAGATTAGGAAGGCCAAAGCTCATCTGGAGCTCAATCTGGCTACTGCTGTTAAAGATAACAAAAAACGCTTTTATAAATACATCAACACAAAAAGGAGGACTAGGGAGAATCTCCATCATTTACTGGATGCGGGGGGAAACTTAGTTACAAGAGATGAGGAAAAAGCAGAGGTGCTTAATGCCTTCTTTGCCTCAGTCTTTAGTGGCAAAACCGGTTGCTCTCTGGATACCCAGTACCCAGAACTGGTGGAAGGGGACGGGGAGCAGGATGTGGCCCTCACCATCCACGAAGAACTGGTTGGTGACCTGCTACGGCACTTGGATGTGCACAAATCGATGGGGCCGGATGGGATCCACCCAAGGGTACTGAGAGAACTGGCAGAGGAGCTGGCCAAGCCCCTATCCATCATTTATCAGCAGTCCTGGCTATCGGGGGAGGTCCCAGCTGACTGGCGACTAGCAAATGTGACGCCCATCTACAAGAAGGGCCGGAGGGCAGACCCGGGGAACTACAGGCCGGTCAGTTTGACCTCAGTACCAGGGAAGCTCATGGAGCAGATCCTCTTGGGAGTCATCATGCAGCACTTGAAGGGCAAGCAGGCGATCAGGCCCAGCCAGCATGGGTTTATGGAAGGCAGGTCCTGCTTGACGAACCTGATCTCCTTCTACGACAAAGTGACGCGCTGGGTGGATGAGGGAAAGGCTGTGGATGTGGTCTACCTTGACTTCAGCAAGGCTTTTGACACCGTCTCCCACAGCATTCTCCTCAAGAAACTGGCTGCTCTTGGCTTGGACTGGCGCACGCTTCGTTGGGTTAGAAACTGGCTGGATAGCCGGGCCCAAAGAGTTGTGGTGAATGGAGCCAAGTCCAGTTGGAGGCCAGTCACTAGTGGCGTCCCCCAGGGCTCAGTGCTGGGGCCGGTCCTCTTTAACATCTTCATCGATGATCTGGATGATGGCATTGAGTGCACCCTCAGTAAGTTTGCAGATGACACCAAGCTAGGTGCGTGTGTCGATCTGCTCGAGGGTAGGAAGGCTCTGCAGGAGGATCTGGATAGGCTGCACCGATGGGCTGAGGTCAACTGTATGAAATTCAACAAGGCCAAGTGCCGGGTCCTGCACCTGGGGCGCAATAACCCCAAGCAGAACTACAGGCTGGGAGAGGAATGGTTGGAGAGCTGCCAGGCAGAGAAGGACCTGGGAGTGATGGTGGACAGTCAGCTGAATATGAGCCAGCAGTGTGCTCAGGTGGCCAAGAAGGCCAACGGCATCCTGGCTTGTATCAGAAACACTGTGACCAGCAGGGCTAGGGAGGTGATCATCCCCCTGTACTCGGCTCTGGTGAGGCCGCACCTCGAGTACTGTGTTCAGTTTTGGGCCCCTCGCTACAAGAAGGACATCGAGGTGCTTGAGCGGGTCCAAAGAAGGGCGACAAAGCTGGTGAGGGGCCTGGAGAGCAAGTCCTATGAGGAGCGGCTGAAGGAGCTGGGCTTGTTCAGCCTAGAGAAGAGGAGGCTCAGGGGTGACCTTATTGCTCTGTATAAGTACATTAAAGGAGGCTGTAGAGAGGTGGGGGTTGGCCTGTTCTCCCATGTGCCTGGTGACAGGACGAGGGGGAATGGGCTAAAGTTACGCCAGGGGAGTTTTAGGTTAGATGTTAGGAAGAATTTCTTTACTGAAAGGGTTGTGAGGCACTGGAACGGGCTGCGCAGGGAGGTGGTGGAGTCACCATCCCTGGAAGTCTTCAAAAGACGTTTAGATGTAGAGCTTAGGGATATGGTTTAGTGGGGACTGTTAGTGTTAGGTTAGAGGTTGGACTCGATGATCTTGAGGTCTCTTCCAACCTAGAAATTCTGTGATTCTGTGATTCTGTGATTCTGTACTAGCCTGACGTGAACTTGCATGGTGATGACTATTTAAATGTCAATGTTTTTCCTTTCACAGAAATCTCAGACTAAACAGTAGGGTGCTGATGAGAAAGCAATGTGGTAAAGACTTCACAGTCTTATCCATGTTAACATACCAGCCTTCTGTTTCTATGAAATCTGTACATATGCAAATGCTATGGAGGATGCTAGCAGTCCTGAGCTGTGTCTGTATTACCCTGTTAGGACAGGTATGAGCTCTCTCAGAGCACTGGCACACTATGACAAAGCAGGCCTAGGTCCTTCAAGCACTACAAAACCTAACACAGAGAGCTCCATTCATCAATGATGTTCAAATATGTTTTTCTTTTATATATATATATATATATATATATATATATATTCTTATTTTTCCAGTAAATACCACCAGCAGTGAACAGAAACACACTGAATGCACTTTGATTTTAATAGAGAGTATTTTATCTCCTCCCTTTATGTCTTGATTTCTGAAATAACATGGAGGACAGTATTATTGTCAATTTCTACTTAACATTTCTTTATCTATATGTCTATCTGTTTATCTTCATCACTAAAAATTACTTACTGACTCTTCTAATTTATTAATTCTTTTCTCTCACCAACCCCTCAGTCATTTGGAAGTAAAACAAATGGCACGGTCCATCATACTCTTGAGGACAAGAGAGGCTGAGTGCCATCATGAGCTTACTTTGGAAACTCCCTGCTCTCTTTACCTAAGAACTGGTGATCAGCTGACTGTGCCAAAACTAACCCTACCATGCTTCCTTTTCTTTCAAGAGGAAGATCTGCTTTGCTCTTGAGTCTGCATCTGGATTGAGAGCTGAAGCTCAGCATGGTCAGGTAGTTTCAATTCCTTTCAAAAAGAGCATGTGAGGATGCTCAATGTAGCACTTTCAAGTCATAGCCTGCATTGCTGAGGGCTTTGGGGAAATGTCCAGAGATAGATTTGGACTAAAACTTCCAGATTTAGATTGTAAGTAAACTGAAGAGTATATACTTACAACGTAGCGATTTAGCATAAGAAAATTGCATAGCTGGCTGTTTTGCCCTTTCCAAAAGACAATGATTTATATACCACTGTGGAAAGCTCAGAACACTAGAGACAATTCCTTAAGCAATGATCTCATAGCTCTGTGTGCGCTGGTGTGAAGTTTGACATTTTTCTGGGATTTAACAGATGCAATCCTTAGTGAAGAGAAAAAATTACTGTAGAATATTAAAATTTTAAAAAGGCACTTTTTTTTTTTTTTTTGTTAAACACATCTTCCTATCAGTCAGGGAGGAATTGTGTCGTATTTTCAGACACTAGTTTGGAAAGAATAAAATCTCTGGGAAATTTCCCTGCCTGGAATTTCCCTGTTTTCTGAATGCCAGGCAAACCCATTCTGGTGACTGGTGCTTTCTTTGTGCCCTCATATGTGGCAAATGAAAGACAGTACAAATTCAATGGCTAGTGAATTTCAGAGGTTAGGATTTAGATCTCTTGTTTGTAGACATAATAGCACTGTATCCCATATGCCTGGTGACAGGACGAGGGGGAATGGGCTTAAGTTGGATCAGGGGAGTTTTAGGTTGGATGTTAGGAAGAACTTATTTACCGAAAGGGTTGTTAGGTATTGGAACGAGCTGCCCAGGGAAGTGGTGGAGTCACCATCCCTGAAGGTCTTTAAAAGATGTTTAGATGTTGAACTTAGCGATATGGTTTAGTGGAGGACTTGTTAGTGTTAGGTCAGAGGTTGGACTCAATGATCTTGAAGTCTCTTCCAACCTAGACAATTCTGTGATTCTGTGATTCTGTATCAATGCTAATCATAGATAATGAGACGAGTATTAGCTCAGCCTCACAGTAACAGGGGAGACAGCATAACGAAGTGGTGCACATAGAGTTCCTTCAAAGGAATGATATAAACATCCTCTCTTTACAGATGGGAGAAAGGAGGCAAAGATCTACTCAATGAATTGTTCTAAAAGCATGCAGGAAGAGTGTGGTTCAGTCAAATTCTCACAGGTAAACTTAATCTCTTATAACAGATGTGGAGACATTTCCAGTGCTCCTATGAAAAAAGAGGCTGAGCTTGCCCCTTAACCTCCATGCACAGAACCTCATCTTTCATAATGTAGATGGCAGGGGTCTGTCTTTGTTCAGGGGTAGCTCTCATGCTTGCTTGCAGTGGGGGTTGAGATAGATGGGCATTTCCTGGCTTGTGCAACTGCAGTCTTTCATTAGAGGAGCCAGAAAAAAGTCACAGGGCTGCTCAGCAGTGAGGAGAGTGCAAGTTGCCAGACTGTCTGAGGTACAAAGGCTATTAAGGAAACTAAGGTATCTGCAATAAATCTATACTTGCCAAATGCCCACTTACTGCCAAATGCACCATAACAGATATCCTAAGAAGCAAAACTGAGAGCTGTGAACCTAAGAGTTCCTTGAAAATGCTGGCTCAGTTTGTTTATTACTTTTATTGCATGTACTATATATGTTTACTGTATACAATATATATAAGAAAAAAGAACCATTCCTGTTAAGAACACTGTGAGGAAGTATAAAGCATTTTCTCCAACACCACATCCTTGCTAGGAAGCAGCCTGAAGATCATTATTGCTATGGATAGGACAGATATTCAGCTTCGCACAGCCAGAAGCAGCTCCTGTGAAAGACAGAAGTAGTTCTGCCAGTCAACTGTGCAGCCAGCAGCCTCCACTACCCTGCCAGGCTTACCAGCACAGTGTGGTGCCTTGGGGTGAAGGAGCTGGAGGATTCTCTGATGCCACAGTTCTGCCTTAGTTGCAATGCCAGCTTGGTGCACTCCAGCAGCCAGCAGAGCCCATTAGGGGTGCAGCATCGCTGGCCTCTCGCTCCATCTCCGCAGGCTGTTGCACACTGCAGTGCTTTGTAGGAGCACAGGGAAGAAGCACTCACCTGTGCTGCTCTGGCAGCTCTCCTGCTGGCCCCTGCTCAGCATCTCCTTGTCCCTCTGTTGCACACATGAACCCTTTCAGAGCAAAAAGGGGGGCTGAGATGTTTGCTGTTCAGGCTGATCTCCATCTCCTCTGGCATTCCTCACAAAGCCCTTAAAGCTCAGAGAAAGGGGAGCTTTTTTTGTTTGTTTCTTTTGTTTTGTTTTGTTTATTTCCTTATCAAGGACTGACTAAAGTGTTGTTCTCATGTCTCAGCAGTTGGAGATTGTAGCAAAATCTCTTAATCCTTTTTTACTTTTTCATTCTCATTGCAGGGGTGAAAATGCACTGTAAATCTCACTGACAGCTTTGTTGGTCATTTGGGCACACAGTCAGCTGCAACATGGACACCTCTTAGCCCAGTGTGTGAGAAAGGGCCAGTATCCATTTACTAAAATGGTCTCTGATCTAAAATCCATTCTTGTCGATTGCTGTTTCCATTGCCATCAATGCACTTTGGAACTTGCTTGTGGAGGTGAGTTGTTTTGTCTTGGGCAGCATTATTGGATTGTTTCTTTAGAATCACTTTATAGAAACCTGTACAGCTTATATAAATGCAGAGAGTGAATCTGGATACGTTCTGAAAGACTAAAAGGAAGCAGCAGGTTTACAAGTAAATTATAAACACTGTGATCTCATAAGTGACCTGAAGAAGCAAGTGTTAGACAAAAGTATGCTCAAATCTGCCACCCAAGCAAACTCACTCTAGAAAGACAGATCAGTAGATCTATAAGTTATTAATACTAATATTTTGCATATGAATACAGCATATCCTGCATATCTGTATTACAAAATAGACAGAAAGGTTTAAATGTCTCTCTTCAGGACACTGCCTCCTCCCCAGTAATATGCTTCAATTTCACTGTTAATCTGTAATGTTACTTTGGGATAGATTTAACCATGTGTACTGTGATTTCTGGGATTGAGATCCTACTCTAAATTACCATGCAGATTAAAATATGTGTTTGATTTTTACACAGGGCTTCTAATTCTAAGATAAGATCTTTCGTCTTTTAACTTTGCTAATATGTTTTTTGCCATGAATTGATGCCCAAGTTCAACTATAAGACCCTCCCTTATAGCTTCCCTCCATCATAAAGCCATTCATTTGAAACCTTAAACATATACACAGAGTACGCAGGCAGTCAGTGAATTTTAGATACTGTAAATAGTCCTAGGATGATACTGGTCATGATGAAAGTACTCATAACGTTATCATACTAAGCCTTTGAAATGGCAAATTTTACGCCTTTTCAGAGGAACAACATTAAAAAAAATAGAGTTGGATAACAATAGACTAACAATCTAAGGTTTAAAGAATTATTACAAACTTATTAAGATCTTTCTGAGAATGGATTTACAAAAACTGGTAAAAATTGAAGATTATTTTTTTTTTTCAATAAAAAACCCGTGTATAGAACAAAATTAGAATAAACATACTGGAAAAAATGCAAATAACGGTTGTCTGCCAGATAATTCTCTGTTCTGTATAACTTTGTTTTGAGTGTTATACCTTATGATGTTCCAGTAATAGCAGTGGGGTGATTTTATTACATTAGTCACACAGTTACAATTGCCTAACATTATCCAGAAGTGTGCTGGCTATTTCAAATATGAAAGGAAATTACTAATTCACTTTAAATAAGTGAGTTTTTAAAAAAGGCTCTAACTCTGCATCAAAAATTACACAGCAGAGATGTGCAATACTAACCAAGGAGAGAGACCTAAATGAAAAATCTGGGATGACTTTTTTCATTGACATGAGGACAATAGCTTCTTTACTTCTTTACTTTGCCACCCATCACTGTAACAGCTCAGGAAGTGTTGGGAGTGTTCTGCTTGGATTTTGCACACACACTACGCACTCCAGTGGAGACTGGAGAGAAGGGGGGGGGGGGGGGAATCCTCAGAAGAGGGCCTTGGAAGAGGCTGTGAGATGCCATCAGCCGGAAGGGCTGCTGTCACTGCAGAATACTTGCAAATGGCTCTTTTAACAAGCCAGTTCAGTTTTTGTACTACAGTTTCCTCAAATTATAAACCAACAGGCAGTGCGTGAAACTCACAAGGTCTGTTCTTTAGCCGTTTAAAACTCAAACATTTATAAACATTGAAGTGCTACTTTTCCTCCATAGAGGCCTTTTCTTGGTTGGACAAATAAAGGCAGGAAATGTCTGTCATGTAGGTTGGCCTAAAATTAAACTTATTGGTAGCGTGCTCCTTAGCTGACTCTTTTTACCTATCTTTTACTTTGTAAAGAGAAACAGTTACAGTTTATTTTCAATTACTTCCCATAGAGTTGAGGAAGATAATTAAGTAATGGTGGTATTCCTTGAATGTTCATATCAAGAGGTGGATGGGAGAATAGAAATCACATGGCAGCCAGTGTAAAGTCAAAGCACAGAGCCAGATGATTTCCTGTACATGTTTTCCTGTGAAGATAATTATTCTTGTTGATAGTCATGTATCTTTGAAAGTGAGGAACAGTGTTACTGGTGAAAATAACTAGGGACAGAGAAAGCCACAGAATACCAAAGGGATTGTTGTTTCACCAACAGAGGAAATGTTCAGGCCTTGTAGAAAAGGCATGAAAGGAAAAGGAACACAATGTCCTGGCATGTTTTAAAACAACGTATCAATATATGCACTACTCTCTGATCATGTCTCTAAAAGCTGGCAGGTATGGCCTATGAGAAACATCAGGCCATGCAAACAACAGCTGTGTAGCCACACAGATAGCCAAGATGTTGGCTATCTTGCACTGAGCGAGCAAGAAAGCTTCTCTTGGATACAGCAAGATTTGGAAAAAGCCTTAAGTGACTTGCAGATCTGGAATTTCTGAGCACATGGTCCATTCACCTAATGCTGAGTTGCTGTGTCATTAAAGAAAAAGGGCCAGAATTTATCGAATGAATTTATTAACTTTATTGATCTGGCTTGTTTGTTTGTTTGTTTGTTTTCCTGACATGTCTCTGATTATCAGTTTCAGAACAAGGTAGGTCCCCTAAGATGGGCATCCTCCAGTCTATTGTGGTAGCATTCAGGATTTTACTTTTGAAACCAGAAATTTGATGTGTGTACTCCCACAAGTCATATATATAAAGCAAGGAAAGCAGGATGGTTGGGTTAGAGATAACATTTATATTTTATTTCTGGGCAGATCTAGTCAAGAAAGCTCAGGAACAGAGTTTGGAAATGCAGGACAGGAGAGTGCCAGAGGCTTCAGAGCATTACACCAGGATGGTGGGATGGAATTTTTGCTAGCAAGATAAACTGGATATCCAGGGAAAACAGGTACGTAAACTACTGATTTAAGGGAGAAACTAAAGAGTGTTTTACAGCTGTTAAAATTCTATTTAATTCTGGAGCATGAAGTATATACAGTATTATCAACAAGAAGAAATTACGGGGATGATAAATCTTGGATTCATCACGGTTTTTATGTTTGTTTGTTTGTTCATTTGTTTTTTACAGTCATAGCATTCATTTATTCTAAGAACTATGCCTAATGGTAAGCAAGGATTGAGAATGTGTAAATAATCTGTGTGCTTCACTGTCTCGCATCATTTATGCATTTTACTTCATACTTTATTTTATCTGGTATCTGCTGATTGCTAATGAGCAATCAAAATGGAAAAGGAATTAGGGGAACAAGGTCTGCCAAGATAACACATTTGGGTCCCTAAAGACATGTTTTCTCTAGAAAAACAGTCTCCTTAAAACAAGATGTTAAGAAAATCTACTGACTCCCACTGGACTGATTTTTACATTGGAGTCTAGGGCTGAGGAAGTAGCATGATTTGCTGTTCAGACTTGGGTTGATATGAAATGTGTTCTGCATACATAACACTTGTACAAGAAAACACAAGAAAATACAAGAAAACACTTGTTCCTGATGAGTGGAAAAACTAACAAACCACTGCTCCACAGCCTTCCTTGTCACCTAGATTTAAGAAATCAACTTTGAAATAAATGTTATGTTAACAGTACAGCTCTTAATGTTGAGGCACCTCCAAGCTTTCTGTGCATGGTGCTCAAAAAAAAAAAAAAAAAACACACACACAAAAAAAAAAAAAAAAAAAAAAAAAACCACAGAGAAATACAGTCCTTTTCCAGTAAGTATGTCTCAGATTTTTGAAACAGGAATCGGCAGCAAATTTTGATTTAAAATAGATCTTTACTGCAGTCTTCTTGAGCAACACCAAGATTTCATCTTCAACGTCTGCTTCCAAAAGGTGACTATTTTAGAAGCTGTCTTGAGCACATTTGCTGATCTCAGCAGCTTTTTAGAGAATTATCATACTTTCAGTATTTCAGAGGAAAGGAAGAAGTGAGTTTTATAAATCAGGTGACTGTGATGTAGAAACTGAAATTTATGGATGCTTTTGGTCTCCTTCAGACTGCTTTGCTTTTGCAACTACTAAACTCAATGTGCAGATCCCCAATTAATGTCAGTGATCTTAAAAACATTAAGATCTTTTTAAGAAGTGTGATGAAGGTTTATTTTCTTCCCCTTCAAAATGAAGAAATGCTGAGAGTATTCTTTGAAAGATATTGTGACGGGACTTTTATTAGTGATGCTAGTGTTTAGTGCTGGTATAATTAAAGTTGGCTAATTTATAATAGCTGACACAGCAACAAAATTCATAATTTTAAGGCATGTTATTCTTGTGTAGTATGAAGCCACTTTAGTCTTTCATTAGTTGAAGTATAACAGTGCACTTGAGCTTTAAGAAAACACATGGGATCCAGAAAATATTCTCCTTCGGAAAATGTTTATTTTCCCGGGTAGGAGTACCAAATTCAAGAAACCTTCAGAAAGACTTTTTTCAGAAAGTCAGAAAACTGAAAGTTTTCTCTCTCCTTCCCATATTTCCCTTGCCTTCTTTTCTGTTTCAAATATTTGTGTGATCCAAGTAAGAGCTCAGGATCGCTTAATTAAAAACTAATCCATCTGTAAGCAGGTACTTCAAATTTTCTGAGGTCAATGAATGTATTTTAAAAATTAGTTTCAATACACAGGTTCCAAATCCAAAGTGCATAAATATTTGAAATGTGATGAAAAATGTAATTTTAAGTACTAAGCCCAATCCTTGCAGATATCTGTTAATGAGGAGTTACTCAGTGTTTAAAAAGCAACCATACCGCTATAGTGATGCTTAAAACTACACACTAAGGCCCTTTATTTGCTCTGGACTTGGAGCATTGAAACCAGACCCCTCTCTTGAAGGTACAGGAGGAACTGTTATTTTTACGTGAGGGGACTGGCTGGGACTCTGCATTCCTGTACTCTCGTAGCCTCCTGAGTCAAGCATTGCCATTTAGGAGGAAAGCCAGCTTTCAGTCTTTCTTCAGAACATTGTAGCCTTGTTAAAGCCTCTCCTGTTGAAGCTGGGCTACTGAGCAGGATGATTTGAGGGACTGATGAGTGAATGGAGAGAGTTAGCAAGAGGGAACACAACTTTAGCATCTGGTTTTGATAACTTGGCTTTTAAAGCTGTGTGGCTTAATTCTCCTTCCAGTTACACAATTTCAGTGATTTATTTTTTTTTTAAGAAGTATATTGGAAATAAAAATTATATCATATCTGTGAACTGGCTTATTGTATTTGGGATGAATCTGAAATGACGTGGTTGAGCTGTGACTCAGCAATAGAGCGGATGAGAACAGGGTCTGACCCCTGTGACAGTTTGGATTGGAATGCGCTTTTGACACACATACTCTGTGTACACCAAACTTTGTAATATGAAACTAAATGATAAAACAAACTCATATAATCCTATTGTTCAGGAGGGTCATAGAGTTCAGGAGAGTATTTGGCATAAGTGGTGAAGAGAAAATCAGCTTTGTAGAAGGAAAGACCAAAAATTTGAAAGTATTCTCTGCTCACATTTTCCTTTTGTTCCTTCCATTGTTTCTTCCTGTAGCTGTAATTCAGCACAGGACATTAGACCTGTAGAAGGTTGTAGACTTAGGCAAACTATACTGAAAGGTAATCCTACAGGGAAAGATGCTTGAGCTCAACTTCTGGGAGCTCATTTAGGGTCCTGGTGTGCATCACCTGGAAACAACATCTGGTTTTGCTGCAATCCTGATAGCCATAAAAATCAGAACTCAGTCTGTAGTGTTGTGTTTTTTCACATCTATAAACTCTCATGCCCACACCCTGCATATATACAGTACATGACAATAATGCTTTAAGGAAAAAAAAGATACTGCAATAAATATAAGAAAATACTTAGAAAGTAAATTAGAAAAATTAAATGGCAAACTTTTTCATAGTTTCTCAAACTCTCTGGAGCCATACCAATGCTGTAAGCTCAATGCAAATTTGAATCTCTGCAGTTTTAATTACTAGAGAAGGGGCAGGAGCACCTTCTGACATTCCTGTGTGACTTAGGGCATTGCACCCAGGACATGAAAAAAAAAAAAAAAAAAAAAGACAGGTGTTTAAAGATGACTGTACCTCAAGCAGTACAGTCAAGCAGGTAGCAATGTGTGCTACTTTCTCCATGATGGTGCTCCTGGTCAATTAGCACTCAACTGCTCTATCCACCCCCTGAGGAAAGGGTGTGAGGCAAAATATTTCCCTGCATTGCTCCAGTGCTAAAACAGCACCGTGCCTTTGACATCGTTCTGATAGTTTATCAACAAAATAAAATCTTTAGGAAACTAGAATGGAAATCTTCAAAATGTCTAAAGTAGCCTGAAATTCCTTTATAGGGCAGTTTCTACTGAGTGTAACTGAGTGTAACACAGTTTGACCTGTCACTTCTGAGTCAGAAAAAACAATGCTGTTTTGTAGCCCTCTTCACCTCAATTACCACATGAAACAACAGCCAAAAGTAAATTAGAAGTAATTTTTAAAAGTTCTTACTGGACCTATGAATCCTTTTAAAAATCTTTTTTTTTCTTTTTTTTTTCTTTTTTTTTCTGCCAAAATTAACTTTTGAATAACTGCATGTTAGAAAGCTTCTGAATATTTCAAATGTTATGAGAATCCGTGTAACGTTTACAGTCAGTGCTTATTTTTGCTCCAAAAACTAGACAGCAATGGTTTGAGACAAACGGCAGTACAACTTTCATAAATTGCAGGCTTACATAACAGGAGTGAGATGGTAAAAGTGAGATTGCAAAAAGTAATTGTGAACTGTACAAACAAATATCTTGGCACTTCATGATACAAACAACACAAGATTTTCTTTGCTAGCAGCCAATGAGTCATTACATAGCACATCATACTAGCAAAGCAAACTCGGGCATGAGAAAACTCTGCTGTCAGTGCTGACACCCCTTGTGTGTGAGCAGTGCTGCAGAGTTCACTCCAAGACAAAGCAATTAAAATGTTCTTGTCTTTAACCTTTGTCCTTTGGTGTGGGGTACTGGGCATGGCCAACGCTGGACAAATAGCATTAATGTGCATTTCATGGCAGCAACAGGGTTACAGCTGAGAGTAGTATTTGGTCTGTCTATTTAGCACTTACATCTAGAATAAGAGGATGTAAATTAGAGCCAATGGACTGTGCAATCTGTGTGCAAACAATCTTACCTTGGCAGAACAGGCAGGACAAGTTGGAGACGTGAAGCTGCATAGTGCTAGCCTGGTCTGACTGAGCTCACATTTGGGCAAAACTCAGCAACACTTCCAAAGCAAGTGCAAGTTGGCAGCTTCAGGAGGAATATTAAATGCGTACAATTATAGAGTTTGTGGTAAATTCTGCCTGGACTGGCTACAGCTAACTAATGCACAGTGTACGTGAGTAAAAGTAAAAAGAAGAACTGACATAAATGGGAGTAAAGAAATTGCTTCAAATGTTTTGAAAGATCTGATAACATATTGAAACTAGAGCTGCTGACTTTTTTTGGCTGCTCCTCCTAATGTAGTTTTTCCTCTCCACAAGGTGAATAGTCCGGAGAAAAGTATTTCATTTGGGACACCTGGTGCTTTATCTAGCAGGTTCAGCCTCACCAGGCCCTGGCAGAATGAGGGTTGAAACATTTGGCTGTGAGTGGGTGAAGGTGAGCCATACCATGCTCCCATGCTCAGCTGGGCTTTGGACAAAGCAGAGCACCTGCAGGTTCCCTTTTGTAACAGGGGACAGAGCACAGGCTTCCTCTGTGCCTGCATCTGATGGAAGGGTGCCCACCCAAATGGGAGATGGGAGCATGTACAGCATGCAACGCCGTCCCTTCCCTCACCAGCTAAATGGTACGCCAGTCTATAACAAGGCAGGGAAGATGGTTCAAAAGGATTTCTTAGATGTGGTGATCCTTTTAACCTGTTGTCAGAGAAGATGCTCTCCAGCTGCTTTGTTGCGTTTAGCAGTGCCTGTCCTTCCCTACTGCAGCAGCACCAATTTGCCCTCAGGTTGATACTTGCACTCTTGTATCCAGCTGCCAAAAC